CGCAGAGCCGCCGCGCGTCACGGCGCTCAGCCTGCGCGCCCGCACGGCCACCAGCCTGGCGCTCGCCTGGAGCCTGCCGCCCCGCCAGCGCGCCCGCGTCTGGAGGTACGAGGTCACCTACAGCAAGAAGGTAGGGGCTGCCGCCCGCCCGCCCGCACACGTGTTGCCGTGGCTGGCCACGCGTGCCACGAGCGCGCGGGGCTCAGCTCCCGCGCCTCGCGGGCTCCCTGTTCTCGGCCCGGCCGTGCCTTTGCGCCTTTTGCGTCCGTGCGCGTTGCTGGCGCTGTCCTCGGCGCGGCCGTGCGTGTCACAAGCGCGCCGTTCTCAGCCCGCCTCCCTCGTTTGCTTCCCCTGCACCCGCAGGCGGACGAGAGCAGCTACTCGGTGCTGCGCTGCGAGGACACCTCCGTCACCATCGCCAAGCTGGCGCCGGGCACGGCCTACGTGGTGCGGGTGCAGGCGCTCACGCAGGAGGGCGAGGGCACCTACAGCCCCCAGCACGAGTTTGAGACCCTCCCGGAGGGTGAGCGCCGGCTTCGGCGGGGCGGCTTCCAAAGCAAAACTTTGGGGGCTCTTTTTTTGGGGGGAACACGGTGATTCGAGCTCCGGTGTGTCCCCTCCTTGTGCAGGCGCCGAGGGCATGGCCTCCGCCGCCGTCATCAGCGGCTCCATCGCCGGCGTCCTCGTGGTCCTCCTGCTGCTGGGCATCTCCCTCTACGTCTTCTGCAGGTCGGTGCTTGATCTTCTCCGGGAGAAGAGGCGGGGAAGATTGGAAAATAGTAATAAGAAGAGGGGAAAATGGCCTGTTTCCTGGCATTTTATTCCCATAGGAATCGGCGCGCACGGACCCGCCAGGCCTCCGAGGACGTCTACTTCTCCAAAGCAGGTGAGCGCCGGACACGGGCAGGGACAAGGGGACCCGTGCAGGCGGGCGGGACACCCACCGCTCCGTGTCCCCCTCCGTAGAGCAGCTCAAGCCGCTGAAGACCTACGTGGACCCGCACACCTACGAGGACCCCAACCAAGCGGTGCTCAAGTTCACCACCGAGATCCACCCGGCCTTGGTCACCCGGCAGAAGGTCATTGGTGCAGGTAGGTCCAAAACCAAGAGAAAAATAGGGGGGAAAAATCCGCTCCGGGCCGCTGTTGTGGGCCCATATTCACCCCCCTGGTCCTCCGGGCGCAGGCGAATTCGGCGAGGTCTACAAGGGCACGCTGAAGCGGGGCAAGAAGGAGGTGCCCGTGGCCATCAAGACGCTGAAGGCCGGCTACACGGAGAAGCAGCGCGTGGACTTCCTCAGCGAGGCCGGCATCATGGGCCAGTTCGGCCACCACAACGTCATCCGCCTCGAGGGCGTCGTCTCCAGGCGTGAGCACCCCGTGCCCCCTTCCTTTGCCCCAAAAGCAGGCCAGAATGGGGAGAAAAAAGGAAAAAAAGACACCCACACACCCAAATGGGTGGCTGTTTTGGAGACATGCAGGAAAAAGTTTTTTTTTTTTTTTTTTTTACCTGGTTTATAAGCTATTTTGGGGGGTTTTATTGTTTGGTTTTTGTTTGTTTTTCCAGATCAGCCCTTCATGATCATCACAGAGTACATGGAAAATGGGGCACTTGACAAATTCCTGCGGGTAGGTGATGCGTGACGGCCGGAAATAAATCCGGATGGATGGGGGAGGTTTTGCGGTCCCCCGTGACAGCCTTTTTGTTCTGTGCTTGGGTGCCGGGATTTACCTGGCTTTGGGAAAACGCTTTGCAAGGGCGAATGCAGCCGCAGGAAAGCGCCAGAGCGGGCGCAGCCGCTGCGGGAAAATCCCCCCGGGATCCGCTCCCGCGCTCGGGGCAGCCGGTGGAATCAGTACCCAGAGCTGGGAAGGGGCGGGAAAGTTGAGTTTAGCCTGGGAACAGGTGGAAAAAGCCTTGGATTTAGGCTGGGAATGGCTGGGAAAAGATGAGTTGAGAAGGTTTGCTGTGTTGCTGCAGGAGAAGGATGGGGAGTTCTGCGTGATCCAGCTGGTGGGAATGCTGCGGGGCATCGCGGCCGGCATGAACTACCTGGCGGGCATGAACTACGTGCACCGGGACCTGGCGGCCCGCAACATCCTGGTCAACAGCCAGCTGGTCTGCAAGGTGTCCGACTTTGGGCTCTCGCGGGTGCTGGAGGACGACCCCGAGGCCACCTACACGACCAGCGTGAGTGGGGCCGGGGCGGCGGGGCGGCGGGGCGGCGCGGGGTGCCCGGTGCTGAGCGCCGCCGGCCTCCGCAGGGCGGCAAGATCCCGATCCGCTGGACGGCGCCCGAGGCCATCTCCTACCGCAAGTTCACCTCGGCCAGCGACGTCTGGAGCTACGGCATCGTCATGTGGGAGGTGATGTCCTACGGCGAGCGGCCCTACTGGGACATGTCCAACCACGAGGTGAGGCCCCCCGGCCATCCCCGTCGCACCGCGGCCGTCCCCTGTCGCCATCCCCAGCCCTTTCCCACCACCAGCGCCCGTCTCGGGGCGCAGCCGCCCCCCGGCCAGCGTGCCCACCGCCCCGTCCCCGTCGCGCAGGTGATGAAGGCCATCAGCGAGGGCTTCCGCCTGCCCGCGCCGCTCGCCTGCCCCTCGGCCATCTACCAGCTGATGCTGCAGTGCTGGCAGCAGGAGCGCGCACGGCGGCCCCGCTTCGCCGACGTCCTCGGCATCCTCGACAAGCTCATCCGGGCGCCCGACTCCCTCGCCTCCCTGGCAGACTTCGACCCCAGGTGAGCCTATGGCTTGGGGGCTTGTGGGGCGGCTTTGGGGCCTCCCGCACCCCAGGGACCTGAGGCAGCGCTGCCCGCCCGCAGGGTCTCCATGCGCCTGCCCAGCGGCTCCGAGGGGCTGCCCTTCCGCTCCGTGGGCGAGTGGCTCGAGTCCATCAAGATGCCCCAGTACACGGAGCACTTCCTGGCCGCCGGCTACACCAGCCTGGAGAAGGTGGTGGCCATGAGCGCAGAGTGAGTGTGGTGCCGGCGACGCTGGGGCTGCCCATGGGGACCCTCCGCGGGGTGGGCGCAGATGGGTCTCCTCCATGGGCCGAGTGGGGTTGGGGACTGGATGCTCCCTGAGGGGTGCTTAAGCCCCAAATGTTCCCAAGGGATGCTGAGGAGCAACCTGTTCCCAAGGGATGCTGAGGAGCAACCTGTTCCCAAGGGCTTCTGGGGACCAAGCCATTCCCAAGGGATAAAGGATGCTGCGGAGCAACCCATGTCCAAGGGATGCTCCTGACCAACCCGTCCCCAAGGGCTTCCAGGGACCAACCCGTCCCCAAGGGATGCTCATGACCAACCCATCCCCAAGGGTTTCCAGGGACCAAGCCATTCCCAAGCAATGCTGAGGAGCAACCCATCCCAAAGGGATGCTCATGTCCCGAAGGGATGCAGCTGTCCAGAAGACCATCTGGGGACCAAGCCATTCCCAAGGGCCACTCATGACCGACCCCTCCCCAAGGGTTTCCAGGGACCAAGCCATTCCCAAGGGCTGCTCATGTCCAACCCATCCCCAAGGGCTTCCAGGGACCAACTCATCCCCAAGGGATGCCCATGTCCAACTCATCCCCAAGGGCTTCCAGGGACCAACTCATCCCCAAGGGCTGCTCATGTCCAACCCATCCCCAAGGGATGCCCATGTCCAACCCATCCCCAAGGGCTTCCAGAGACCAAGCCATTCCCAAGCGATGCTCAGGAGCAACCCCTCCCCAAGGGACATGGGGGCCCAACCGTTCCCCAGGGGCTGCTCCTGCCCACCCCTTTCCCGTTATCCCAGCTAAGCACTTGCCCCGCTCCCGCAGGGACATCAAGCGGGTCGGCGTGCGCCTGCCGGGCCACCAGAAGCGCATCGGCTGCAGCCTGGTGACGCTGCGGGAGCAGCTCGGCGCCGGCCCGCTCTGAGCCGCGGACCCCCCGCCGCCCCCACACACTTGACGCGGAGCAGTGAAGGGCACCCGGCCGCCGCCCACCGGTCCTATTTATTGTTTCTGGGATTAAGAGCGAGTTTTTATTATTATTATTATTATTATTGTTATTATCTTATTGAGGCGTTTCACACCGGAGCGGCTGTCCTGGCTCAGGAGATGCTCCTCAGCAAAGCAGGGAGGAGGGGGGGGGGCAGAACGAGTAGGAAAACACCCCCTTTCCCAAAAGAAAATCAAGATAAAATTTCAAAATCAGGAGGAAAAAAAGAAGAAGAAAAAAAAAAAAAAAAAAAAAAAAAACCAACACTGATTCCCCTCCCCTGGCCCTTTTCCCTATGTATTAATTTAAAATGCCTCATTCGGGCTGGGGCCCTCTTCCCTTGCCGTAGGTTTAAGGGTTTTTGGAAGTTTAGGGTTGTTTTTTTCCTCCTTCTCTCCCACATTTCAAGAGCAGGGCTGCCCCTGGCGCCGGCTGCGGCCTCTCCCCGGCCCGGCTCCTCCGTTCCCTTCCTTCTTCCCTATTTATTTTGCCCCAAGCCCCGTGCCGCAGCCCTGCTCTTTTTTTTTTTTTTAATTTTTTTATAAATTATTTTTTAATTCCTTCCCCCAAACACCATTTGCTCTGTGTTACCTTCCCCCCCGCTTCTTTTTTAATATAATTTATTATATATTTTTATATTTATTGAGAGCCAACACCTTTCTCCCCAGCTTCCCGCCTGTCCAACAGCTCCCAAAACGCCGCTGTGCTCCTCCCCCCGCCCGCTTCCTCTCCCCACCGATGATTTAACGGATTTATTTTTCTTTTGTGAGGCTTTAAAAAAATTGGTTTTAATAAATGGTTTTAATAAATTGGTGCCGTTTGGTTCTTTAAAGAAAAATGCCCTTTTTGTCGCCTTTTCCCGGCGCCGGGATGCCGCGCGGCCCTAGGCGTGTGGGGCACCTCGGTGTGGGTCCCGTGGGGAGGTGTGAGCGCTGCATGGGCTGCAGCTATCAGTGCAACGAGCGCTCCCGGCCTCAGCCCTCCTGGTTCCTCGCGGGGTCCCTCCCTGCGCTGCTGAGGAGGAGGAGGAGGAGGAAGGCCGAAGGTCGTCACTGCGGGTTGGCGAGCTCCTCAATGGCCCTCCGCAGCTGCAAGGGACAGAGCGGATGGATGTGGCCTGTTGCATCCCATGCCATGCCATCCCATGCCATGCCATCCCACCCCATGCCACCCCCGGTGTCCCCGCCGCTCTGCCCCGTCTCACCTCGGCCCGTGTCACCGTTCCCACCAGCTCCCCGCCGCGGGTGACGAAGAGCTGCTGCAGCTTGAGCAGCTCAAAGAGGTGATGCGTCTGCCGGGCGGACACGCGGATGCAGGGACGGACAGACACATGGATGCAGGGATGGACGGGGGGGACGGGCGGAGGGGCCGGTCAGCGTCCCCCCCGCCCGCCGCGGCCGCTACCTGGTGCAGCGAGGTCCAGGGCGAGAGCTGCAGCATGACGGGCTCGATGGCGCAGTCGTCCCCCACCATCCCCGCCGGCTGCAAAGTCGGGGGGGGTTGAAAGAAAAAAGGTTAGAAACAACCCATGGGGGAAAAAAGGAAATGTAAGAAATATATGTATGTATTTTGGGGGGTGTCACCTTCTCCCCAGTGTCGCTGTGGCTCTGCAGAAAGGCCACCAGCTCCGCGCGGCTCACAGTGCCCACCAGCGTGGGCGACTCTATGGGAAGAGGAGCGGGACGGGCAGCGGTGAAGATGAGGGGGGCACGTTGGATCTGGGGGGGCCTGGGTGGATCCGGGGGGTCCAGGAGGATCTGGGGGGTCCAGGCGGATCCGGGCGGATCCGGGGGGTCCGGGCAGCTCTACCTGCGCTCTCCACCACGGGGAAGTCGGTGGCGCCGGGAGCAGCCGTCAGCGCCGCCAGCACCTCGCTGAAAGCGGCCGCCTTGGCCAGCGACAGCACCTGGCGGCTCATGAACTCCTCCACCAGCACCCGGTAGGAGCTACGGGGTGGGAGAAACGCTTAAAAAACGGTGCGAACCGCCCCCCCAAAGGTAGCAAAGACCCCCCAAAACTCACGCCATGTGCCGGCTGCGGATGGGCGGCAGGTAGGGCAGCCGCTTGACGATGATGGTGCCGGCGTAGAAGGAAGGCTGCCACTTCTGCGCCACGGCGTTGGCGGCCAGCACGGCGGCCGTGATGGGCAGCGCCCACGCCAGGTGCCCCGTGGCCTCGCACGCCAGCAGCGCCGTGGACACCGAGTGCGTCACGGCGCCCGAGAACGCCGCCGCCCCTGCCGCGGACAGCACTCAGGGCATGAGGGAACCCCTCTCATAGCAAAAAATAAACACCTTGTTATACACTTTATTATTACGCTTTCTGGTTTTGCACCTACCAGCCAGAGCGTAGCCGCCGGGCACAACCGGGTGCCCCGTGGTGATGCCCTCGGGGAAGAGCGCGGCCACTGTCTCGCCCGCCAGGCGCCCCAGGGCAGCTCCTATGAAGGGGGGTGCAGGTGGGTGACACTGAGCCGGGGTGGCACATGGACACCCCCCGTGTCACCGTCCTGCACCGGTGGCCGTGTGCGGCCCACTCACCGTACACGAAGATGGGCATGAAGTAGCCGGCGGGCAGCGGCAAGGTGGTGGCCAGGATGAGCATCCAGAACTGGGGGAGACGGGAGGGAAGCCGGGCGGGCCGGGGCAGCGGCCGGGAAGGAGCGGGGCGGCGGGGACACCCACCTTCATGAGCAGGAAGAAGGCCAAGGTGCCGAAGAAGGACACGGAGGGGTGGCACCAGGCGTGCCAGAGGTGGCCGGGGCCGGCGGGTCCACCCGGCGGGGCGCCGCGCGCCAGCTCGCCCCACGTACGGTTGTCGAAGAGCGACACCAGGTACTCCTTCATGGTGAGCTGCGGCGGACGGACCCCCGTGCCAGCTGCGGCCCCGTGGGGCTGGGACCCCCCCCGGCCGCCCCGCGCTCACCTGCGAGGCCATGAACTGGCCCAGGCTGGGCGGGAAGGTGATGGAGGCCAGCAGCAGCACCACGAGCACCGTGTAGACGGGCTTGCTGCGGGGCAAGGGGCGGGTTGGGGGTCCCGCGGGACGCCCCCGCGCCCGGCGCCGCCCCGCGCCCCCACGGCGGTGCTTACTCCGTGGCGAGCAGCCTGGCCGTGAACCTGTTCTCCCTGACGTAGCCCAGCAGCCAGCGCTGGCAGAAGAGGTAGGCGCAGGCGACCACCCCGCACACGATGCTGCCGAAGCCACGGGACATGGGATTGGGGTGGGAATGCTCCAAAAACACCACCAACAAAAAGGCGTCCCTGACACGGGTGGGGAGAAACAGAGCTTCCTGCCCTCGGCCCGTGCTGCCCCGTACCCCAGGGCGAGGAAGAAGAAGGTCTCGCGGAGATCGAAGGGGAAATCGAGCTTGAGGTCGGTCCTGAAGAGGGCGATGATGGTTTCTGGGAGGAGGAAGGCGCCCGGAGGTGGCTTTAGGGGCGTGGGGGGGGACGGGGCGCCCCGCGGCCGCCCGCCCGCCCTCACCTTGCTCGCTGTTGAAGACGGCCAGGAGGCGGAACACGAAGGCGCCGCAGGTGGCGGCGAAGAAGCCGCGCCAGTAGTCGCGCACGGCGAAGTGCGAGGCCATCACCTCGATGCTGAAGAGCACCCCTGGGCACAGGGTGCGGTGAGGAGCCCGGCGCGCGCCTGGCCGCCCCCCAGCCCCGCGCGCCCGCCGCGCTCACCGCTCATGGGCGCCCCGAACACCGCGGCCACGCCGACCGCCTGCGCCGCCACCAGCATCTCGTTCTGCTTGACCTTGTCCTGCAGGCGAGGCGCCCGCGGGATGTGCCCTGGGGTCTACGGGGGGGACGCCGGCGTGGGGCAAGCCCCGAGAGCCGGCGCCAGCCTCACCTCGTACTCCTTGGTCACCGAGGTCCGCATCTTGCCCAGGTAGGCGGCCAGCATGGCGGAGATGTGCACGTAGGGACCCTGGGGACGCCGGCGCTGAGCGGCGGCCGCGTCCCGCCCCGGGAGCGCCGCGCTGGCCGCGGGTCCGCCCCGGCACGGCGCCGCTCACCACTTTGCCCAGGAAGACGGTGCTGCCGCAGGCCAGCGTGCACGTGAGCCCCACCACCTTGGCGCCGAAGTTCTTGATGGACAGGTAGTCCTCCAGCATGACCCCCGTGAGGATGGTCTGGAGCTCGGGGACGCCGGAGCCTGCGGGGGCACCCACAGGCTCCAGAGCTTTCCCCAGGGCTTTCGGGGGCCCCACGGCAGCCCAAGACCCCGGTGCTCACCCGCTGAGTGCGGCGTGATGCTCTGTGAGAAGCCGGTGGAGAAGGCAGCCAAGGCCACCGGGTACATGGTCCACGAGAGGTATTTGAGCACCGGGTAGTCGCCAATCTCTTGGTAGAGCCAGCGGTGGGCTAGGAAGGAAGCAGCAGGAAGGAGAGGGGAAGGACCTGCTGGTGCTTCCCTTCTCCGTCGGGAAGGACCCAGCAGGATCCAGCCCTGGCGGGATGCCAGGACAGCAGCGGGCGCCAGCGCCCCGAGGGCAGCACACCCAGCGCCCGGCGCTCCCCGGGGCGGCCGGCGTTACCCTCGAAGAGCCTGAAGACGAGGAGGTCCGTCATGAAGCTGATCATGGCCATGAGGACGCCCAGGGCGCAGAGGAAGTACCAGTCCTCGCCGACGCGGAGGAGCTGCCGCCGCACGAACGCCAGGCACCCTGCGGGATGCCAGGGGGTGATGGACCCCCCCCCCACCAACGGGGGTCCCCGGGGACCCCACTGCGGTGGCGCTCACCTTGGAGCCGCCTGCGGGCTTTGGGGCAGGGTCTCCAGCTCTTCTCCCACAGCAGCACCCGCTCCACGGCCACCTCCTCGTCCTCCTGCAGCCGGCGGCCGTGCCGGGGCTCCGCGCCGGCCTCGGCGGCAGCCGCAGCGCAGAGCTCCGTGTCCCCGGGGCCAGCCGACATCGTGGCAGGGCTGGAAGGCGCTGGGGGAGCCGGCAGCGCCCGCGCGCAGCCCCAGCCCTGCGCCGCGCTCCTTAACAACGACCTTGACGGAGCGGCCCGGCCGGAGCCGGCGCCGGGCGGCGCGCGGGGAGGCGTCTCCCGCCCGCCCCGGCGCTCCCCGGTCGCGGCCCCGCTCCGCCCGGGCGCTCCGGCCCCTTCCCGGGGCTCCGGCCCCTTCCCAAGGCTCGGGCCCCTTGGCCCCCCGAGGGCGCCGCGCGGCGCTGGGGCAGCTCTGCGGTTATCCGCGCGGCTCCGGGAGCTCGCCGGGGGCCGGGGCTGGGCCGCAGCCCAGGCGGCGCCGCGGGCCTGGCCCGGCCGCAGCATTTTTGGCAGGGCGGCCCGGCGGGTCGGCCGGCCCGGGCACTAATGCCTTACATGGGCCCGCACGGCGCCACGCCGCCCCGGCCGGCCGGCCCCCGCTCCCGGTCCCGCATCCCAGCCTCTCGGTCCCGATCCCACATCCCAGCCTCTCAGTCCTGGTCACACATTCCCGCACCTCATTCCAGTTCCGAATCCCAGCCCCTCGCTCCTGGCTCCACATTCCAGCCCCTTTATCCTGGCTCCAGATTCCAGCCCTTCACTCCTGGCTCCGCATTCCAGTCCCTCATTCCAGGCCCAAATGCCAGCCCCTCGCTCCTGGTTCCATATTCCAGCCCCTCAATCCTAGCTCCACATTCCAGCCCCTCTATCCAGGCTCCAGATTCCAGCCCCTCACTCCTGCTCCGCATTCCAGCCCCTCACTCCTGGCTCTGCATTCCAGCCCCTCAATACTGGCTCCACATTCCAGCCCCTCAATCCTAGCTCCACATTCCAGCCCCTCTATGCTGGCTCCACATTCCAGCCCCTCAATCCTGGCTCCATATTCCAGCCCCTCAATCCCGGCTCCACATTCCAGCCCCTCAATCCTGGCTCCACATTCCAGCCCCTCTATCCAGGCTCCAGATTCCAGCCCCTCACTCCTGGCTCCACATTCCAGCCCCTCATTCCTGCCCTGAATCCCAGCCCCTCACTTCTGGCTCCATATTCCAGCCCCTCGCTCCCAGCTCCACATTCCAGCCCCTGGCTCCTGCCTGCCGCGCAGGGCGCCGCGGGGCTTGGAGAGGCTCCGCGGTGGCGCGCGGCCGGCGGCCAGGCGGCACGAGGCCGTGCCCGGCGCTGCCCTGTTCCGGGCAGGACGGCACGTGCGGGACACCGCGACCTTCACCCAACCGCAGCCACAGGGCACGGGGACCCCCGGTGCCCGCGCCGCCCGCGTGCTCCAAGGGCACCTCTCGCCCTTCAGGCCTCCGGTGCCGCCTCCTTTGTTGTTGGTGCTGTTGCCGGAAACCTCACGCGACCTTGGCGGCCGGTTCGCGCGGAGCCTCTCGGCTCCCACAGCGGCTGCCAGCGCCAGGGGGCACATGGGGCACCTCGGCCCACACCTCCTGCTCTCTTCCCCCCTTCCCTTCCTCGGGAAATCACTGTCGGGAGCCGCGCTATGCGGGCGGCCAGGAATGCCAGCGACGGGATCGGATTCTTCCCTTTGCTGCTTGTTTGTAGCCAGGATGGTGAGGAGGAAAAGGGGGGGGGGGTGCTGAAAAATTTCCACCCTATGCGGAGTGATGTAGCAGGACCTAAATTTAGCCTGTTTTACAAGAGGTCTGGAAGGCAGCCCGGAGCCTAACAGGGCTTTATAAGCTCCCGGGTGCCGCCGGGCTCGCCGGCTCCGTCCGCGACGCTTCCCGGTGGCACCTCGGCTCCGGCTTTCTCCGCCGGCGGCTCCCGCAGCGTCGCCCTCGTTGCTTTTCCCTTTGTGTCTGTGGGTTTTCCTTCCCTCTCCGCTTTTCCCCCATCCCGGGAGCCCTCGCGGCGGTGCATGAACTTGAAGTCCTCGGCGGCTTTCCGCTCGGAGCGCAGCTTCCACCGGAGCTCGTCGCCGTCTCCCGGCCGCCCCATGGAGCTCTTCGGCACCTTCGTGCGGCCACGCGCGGAGCCGGCGGCATTCCCAGGTAAATCGGGCTGGGCAGAGCGAGACGTCCCGGGAAGGGAAGCCCCGGGAAGGGGTGATGCTCCCTGACCCGCTCCCACCACGGGCAGCGGATGGAGCGCAGGGCGGAGGGGGGCCCCGGCGTCCGGCGGGCCCCGGCGTCCGGCGAGCGCCTCTGCTCTCCCGCAGCCCGGCCGGGCACCGCGGGCAACGTCAAGACCCTGGGCGACACCTACCAGTTCACGGTGGACGTGAGCGACTTCGCACCCGAGGACATCATCGTCACCACCTCCAACAACCACATCGAGGTGCACGCCGAGAAGGTGAAGGCTCCGCGCGCGCCCCGCGGCCCCGCGCGCGCCCCCGGCCCCGCGCGCGCCCCCGGCCCCGCGCGCGCCCCCGGCCCCGCGCGCGCCCCCGGCCCCGCGCGCGCCCCCGGCCCCGCGCGCGCCCCCGGCGCCGCCCGGCGCTCCGACCCGCTGCCGCTTCCCTCCGCAGCGCGCCGGCGACGGCACCGTCGTCAACACCTTCACGCACAAGTGCCAGCTGCCCGACGACGTGGAGCCCACGTCGGTGTCGTCGGCGCTGGCCGAGGACGGCTCGCTGACGGTGCGCGCGCGCCGCCAGCCCGCCCGGCACGCCGAGCACGTCCCGCAGACCTTCCGGACTGAGATCAAGATCTGAGCGCGCGGCGGGCCCCGCGGCCGCCCCGACACCCGCCCCACATGCCCCTAGACGTAGGCGCTGGTGCTTGGGTGGCGTTTGGGCTCACGGGCTGTTTGTTTAGGTGTGTGAGCACATTGGGGCGGGGGGATAGCGCCTCGGACCGGCTGCTCCGGTGCGGGGGGGCTCGGCTGCATCCCGGCTCCCGTTGAGGGGCCGCTTATCCCGGAGGGAAGAGTCCTGCTCCGCGCGGGAGCTGCCGGGGCCCGCACCGATCCGGATGCGGCCGCGGGGCCCTTGCTGAGCGCGGAGGCCCTCCGGGGCGGCGGGGCCGGTGGGAATTGCGGCCGTGCCGGCGCCGGGACAGCGCTGGAGCCGTTCCCGGCGCCCATCCCGTGCAGCGGCACCGGCCCCGCGGGCTCTTCCCGCGCCTGGCCGCGCGCCCTGCCCCTCGCGCGCCTTCGCTCCTGTTTATTTCCAGCCCGCGTGACTCATTCCTTCCCCGCCGCTCTATTTCTGCGCCCTGCCCTCAGCTGCTAAAGCCCCTGGGCCCCGGGCCCGTCCGCAAGGTCACCCAGCGCCGGGCTCCGCTCCGGAGCCCCCCGGCACACAGGGCACCCCGCGGCGGCTCAGGCGGCGCCGAGGGACCCCGTCATCCCCACGGGGCTGCTGCCAAGGGGCCCTCACGCTCGGGAACATCTCCCCTCCGGGCCCAAGGGCTCCTCGGAGGCGGCCGTGGGGCCGGAGCCGGAGCGGCCACAAGTGCCATGGTGCTGCGCGCGGCTCCGGGCTGCCCCACGCGCCCGTGGGAGCCACGAGCAGCAGGTCCCGCGTTTCATTGTCTTTTATTGTATGTTTTGCTGTTTCGCATCTCACGGACCCGCCACCCCGCGGGGCGGCAGCTGCTCCGGAGGGGCTGCGGCCACGGGCTGCAACGGGAGAGGAGGCCGTGGGAAGCGGAGCGCCCGGCTGCGGGACACGGCCACGCGCCACTGCCGGGGCCTGCGCCGGGGCGGCGCGCGGCGAAACGAAAATTACTACTAATAAAAATAATAAACATATATATATATATAAACGCACGTAGGGAGTTTGTTCAAAGAATAGAAAAGGGCTAGAAAGTAAATCGAGAACTAAGCTAGGAAATGAGGCAAAAATAAACCAAATGAAATTAAAATTAAGAAATAAAAAATAAATCCACTGGATTTATTGGAGCGCATCCAAGCGCGCTCCCTGCGCGGGGCCAGCCGGTTCCCGCCAGCGCGCCGCCTGTTCCCGGGAAAACGGGGGCTCCGCCCCCGGCGCCGCTCGGCGCATGCGCCGTCCCGACCCCGGGGCCGCGCGCGCACGCGCGGGGAGGGGCAGCCCCGAGGGGCCGGGGGAGCCTCCGCCGCCACCATCATGGCGGCCGGGAGGGGCCCAGGAGCGGAGCGGAAGAAGGTCGCTTGCTCCCCTCCCTCCGCGCGCATGCGCGCAGGCACCGCCCCTTCCGCCCCGCGCATGCGCCACGTCGCCGGGCGGAGCGCGCCGGAGCGTCCGAAACGCCGCTTCCGC